GTAAAAAAATGGGAATTTTTAACGAATGTCTTATTTATCAAGCAAGAATTTTTGCAAATTATGGTTTCTGCATCCGGTTGAGAGTAGGCTTCTTCAAAATACGGCATTCGGACGTTACTGAAACATCTGCCGAATGAGTCGCATAATAAATTTAACTACAGACCTACTTCAGTAACATTTATGCGCGAAAACATCTTTCAGAAGTTCGGCGAACATCTCAGGAAGTAACATACCTACTGTATAAAAAACTATCGATTGCGCAGAATTTATTACATACGGTGGGCAGGATGATACGGATGGACGAATCGTGTTTCACAATGGCCCCGTCTTAGGAAATCGAACGGTGACAAATTGCCGATCAGAATCCGTATGCTAGCGAAATCAATCGCAGTTAAATGTCCTAAGCACCGATCTCCCCAAGCGTTACCGAGTGGAATTTGTGCCGCAGGAAACTGCATTGATGCCATGTGGATAAAGATGAGTGGAATGGGAAAGGAAGGAACGTTTTGATCTATACCGTATTTCAGTAAAATTCTGGCGGCATATGACAGAATGAAAAGTATGCTTATTTCACCGATATATGATTTTAAGAACAAGAGTAAGCACCACGCTCTGACGATGAGAACGAGCATGTTTTCGAAACGTCAGCTAAAATACACTTTGGTCCCGGTACTTGCCACCTCATCTTCTTCCTCTTCTGGGGAGGATGAACACGATATTAGATCTGGACCACGAATATTTACGCATATTGATTTTAAGTATAAAAGGGAAATTCGTTATGATTAATGAAAAATGAAGTGTCTGGGGCACTTTTCGGGGTTCCGCCAATGTAGGTATGAGCAGGCTACTAACCCAGATAAGTTTCCTGTAACAAACTTGTGGGTATATATATGGACATGCACAGTAAATAAACGGTTTCAACCGCTTTCTGTGTGGACACCGTATAAAGTGTTTCGTCCCCAATAAGCTTTTTAGCAACTTTTACCAGCAATTGTTATATACGGGGTCATTTACACGTATGAATAAATAGCGAGCTTGCCTGAGCGAAATGAACCACGGGCTATGCAATATGCCTTGTTTCCATTGTGTCCTATTTCAAGCAAATGCACCAGCATCTACGGGATGCTAAGAAGGATACAAAACGTACAAATACCAGAAAGCATTCAGGTATCTTCGTTTTTCTTCAGTACGTAAAACAACTTGAAAAATGTTTAAGACTCAAAACACCATTTTACTCATTTTTTGGTATGCTTCGTTTGCGCAGACGAAGGCACGAAACTAGGTCTTGCCAATAAAAACGAACATGCGAGTCCCAGGACGTAATTAAGAAGAAGACGACTCGGGTGCTGGGACAAAACTTTTATTCGCCTGACGTTTCAACATCCGTCGCGATTCATTATCAGATACATTAGTAGAAAACGGTGACCCATTTCTGCTACCGTTTTCTGCTAACGTCTCTGATAGTGAATTCGCGACGGATGTCAAAACCTCAGGCGAATAAAGGTATTGTCCCAGCGGTCGAGTCGTCTTCTTCTCAAAACTAGTTCTTACGTGGTAAAATATAAGGGATGTTTTTATATTCCGTCTGAGGAGAAGGAAAGAGGACTAAATTGCCTTCCCAAAATCCATTTTGGTTGTTATGCAAGAAACACATAGTTTCAACTATTTTTAGCCAAAGGTACTTAAAATCTACCTGAGCGCAAAGGAGTATCCTGAGACGCCCTCATTGTACGTGCTCATATTGTTTATTAGACTAAACACACTGTAAATGGTGCTTTTGGCGAATTTCCAGTCGTAAGCCGGTCAGCATCTAAGATCTAAGGTCTTATCCCGCGGATCATTGAGTCTCTAAGTCGGACGCTGCCGTGGCACCTTTCTGTTCGTGGTAGTAGATAATATCCAAGTTTGTGGTACTGGATTAGCATTCCGTCCAGAAATCAGAGTATAGCGCTAAACATATCTTCCGTTTGAATTCTTCTTTGTTGCTTCTTAACATCAAAGGTTTTAAGTCACCGTCTGCGTTATTGTTACAATTAAAGATGGCATCAATGATGACGCCTACGCAGTGAAGCGTTTTTTGCTAATAAATAAGCGTCCGTCATACACTGACACTTGGTCCACTGCTATGTCGCATCCTTTTAAACCAAGCCAGAGGGACACTCAAAGGAAGAGGAAGCATCATGGCTGGCATACCTGTGTAGGCAGCCCAGGTACTGATAGGACCAGTACGATAGACAGATAGTATTGCCGACGAAGACAACGGAGACTGAAGGGGCCATTTCTGGCTTATTAGCCGTCGTCAGCCAGTAGTGTCCCATCCGAACCTCGAACTCACAACCTTTTTGCTCAAAGTCAAACACCCTACCCATCGAGCCTTGTCCCTGCTGGCAATATTATCTGCCTATACTTCCGGCTGTTACGGCTGTCAGGGCCTCTGTCGAGACCCCATGCAGAGCGGGACTGGTGAGTTCCGTTTTACAGTTGGGTGACCATTCTTCATCGAGGAATAATACTGTTGGCCGTCTAGTTGTCCTCTTGCTCGCATGGCAAGCGCAAAATTAGCATTTACAAAACGACAAAAAGGTGTAGAGTTAAGGAGGGATCCGCAACAAAAAGACTCAACAGCTGGCAAACCAACCTTCCGAAATTTTTTCCAACAATGCAATGCCAAGTTGGACCGAACTGCTTGTCAAATTCCTTCTTGATGAAGGCCGCAATGTCCTTCTCGATTCCGTGCTTTGCGAGGGCCTCCGCGGCCAGATCCACGGCACTCTGCTGTTGTTCTTCCGCCATGTCGGCGCTCTTTACAATGGCTTTGGTCGATGATGACATGTTGCTGATGCTGTTGCTTCTTCTCCTCAGGCTGGCCTTTCTCAGAATGAATGAATTAAGAAGTTGCAACTTTCGCCTGTAGGCACAGGCGAAAAGCAGCAGCCTATGACTGCCAGTGTGCGGGCGGACATTCCGGCTGACCTCATTTGTACATGCGAGGTTTGAGTGCCTAAAGCATAAGCAGGCGTTGACCCACGCGCATAAAGACACACACTCACACACATGTAGTGCGTTGCTCGAACACTTCTCAGAAGCGAACTGAGGTCAGAGGCTTGTACTACCCGCAGAACTTTAGTGACGCGCTTTGTGGGGCATTTGTTCGAGCTGAGTATGCAGGAGGGGGAAGGTGAGCAGACATACCTTCTTACTTAGGCTTTTGAAGTTTAATCGCCTTTTTATTGTCCTTACTACAACTGAGATAGAATCCTTCTTCAGATGAATAAAAACAGACTACTCCCGTGATTTCAATAGACCTTTTATTTACATTAAATTTGGTTCAGGTGAACACTTCCTAGTGTAAATGCAGTGAGCGTGTTGTACGCTGCTATTTCACAAACCCTCACCCTCTTAGCCCTTCATATTTTGTAAGTATGTTTATATATTTTGCACAGCACAGCGACCTGTAACAGTTTTAGTATCTTGGTCACTTTGTATGCATTTCTGTACCGTTTCCAATGGAGTTTTTAAGGGCTTCTGTCATTTACTCAAAATATACTGATTGATACCGACAGTTCGGTACTCTTCAGTAAGAAGCATACTTTCACGGGGTTACATATTCGCTGTGTGAAAAGAAATTTCTTTTTCTCCATTCCCGTCTTTACGTCTTCTAAACGAGGATTATCTGTATTGAACTAGTTGTGAAGATTCGTTGTTAGGATTGAAAGCAACTTGTTAATCTTTTTTAATCTTTAATCATCAACAATCAAAATATATAAAATTATTCAAAAGCGTCCAAAATTGCTGCCTTCCGGCTGTATCAAAGAGGGGAATGTGTAGACAAAATACCTTGACAGGTCTGCTGAGGACTTTTCGACAATGTTTCTGAAGCTGGATCATATGTTTTGGTAAATTTAGGAATATTTGTGACTGATACTTTGGACTTTGACAGTCCTTTCAGTTTAGGGATTAGTTGAAAATAAGATTTCTTCGTTTCTTGTGTATTCTACTTTTCCAAGGTATCTGATCACCTGCTTTTTAACAGGCACGAACAATTCCGTTCTCACCGATGTGAGATCCAAGCCGCTTCTGATTGTAACCTGTGGGCTTCCTGTTTTATCTTCTTGACTTCTCAGACTCCGTACCCAGCAGTCACGCGTACGTCAAACCCAATGATAACAACTATCAATGCTATACAGTACTATTAAGCAAAAATAGTAAAGGATAAGTGGTGTACAAACCTCAACAATGGACATGCCGAGTCAAGAGCGAAGAGAGTCGGCCAAATCGCCCGACTCTATACAAGGGAACGACACAAGTTCAACAATAACGCCATACTGGACGAAACTAGTCCCGGGAAAACTCGTGTGTGTTAGTGGGAGAGGGAGGTAACTCCGCTTTTATATGATTTCACGAGACAATTAATGTAGCATTAAGATTGGTGTGAAACACCAGCGCAAAAGGGGGGGTTCCCGAACAGTGGCAGGAGGTGTCGAAGGGGCCCTGCAACGGCAACGTCTATCTGGCGTACCACGTGCCCACGGGGGTAGTCGATGAATGGTTCTCGGATTAACTGGGTCAAGAAGGGGGACATGGACGGCTGGCTCTTCAAAACAAACTTCCTTAACGTGATCTGATCTCCATGTGAAAATGGGAAAAATGGGAAAACGGGAGCCGATCCCGGCGAGGGGGGGGGGAATATTCAGTCATGTGTAATCGAGTAAGGGTGGGCGGTCAGCATTCGAGGGAGGAAGGGGACAGCCTTTGTAAGAGGTAAACAATAATGTTAGGTCTGATGGGAGTTTCAATGGAGAAGGGAAGTGGAGAATTCCAAACTTGTTCAGCCGGAAATAACACTTTCTTTAAACCCACAAACAAAATCCCCATAACCACGATTTTTGTATTACGGGGACCCCTGCTTCACTTTCTTTGATGGTGGTCACGCTTCCATTTGTCATGCATTTATGTGCAAGACATCGACGCTACGAACAATCATTGCAGAACGCTGCGATTGCCATCGCCTGCCAGGGTTGAAATGTCAGTCTGTGCACAAACCCGTTTTAGCCTTGTAATTTATGAGATTTAGAACGCTTTAAAAACTGCAAAACATCACCCTCCCCAGCATTCATCGTAAATAAAGTTAACTGCCTGTAGCCTGTGTTTGCTTTGTGTAACGAACCCCGTCTGTACTAGACAAAATCCCACTTGTAACAGGCACCTTCAAACTAAGCATTTTGTGGGATAACCGTTTTTGTGCCTGTTTTCTTAAACCATATCCCTATAACCTGTGAGTGCTGTCGATTGAGAACCGGAGAACCTCGAAGGAATCTGTATTCACTAAGCCACTATGGCTTATCGAAGTGGTGATAGCGCTGGAGTAAAGTGAAGTATATTACCACACAGAAACTTACTCATTAATATCAGTAGAAAGTATTTTAAAGTTGCCAAAATTCCCATTAGAGAATTCAGAAGAGTATTTGGCGAGCATACGTAGCTTTCGATAAATTCTCCTCGGCCGTTACAATCATATAGGGAGGGGTACAAATTAACATGCTGGTAATTAAGTTATCACAGAACGCAAATAAGTCATGGGGATGAGGGAGGGTTATGGGGTTGGTAATAATCAGCTGATGAGGGTTTGCTGAGACCGGACAGGGGATGGGGGGAAGGGGGGTGGGGTGAAGCGGTAGCAAGCGCGA